CAGCCTTTAGAAGGGCAAGGCCCCTCTGTACAAATCAGAACAGAGCTCGCTCCTTCCCTCATTGCCTGCAGTTACCAAGTAAACCCATTTCCACTGCCTTAAATAATGTCTGCCTGTATTTCATTTTCACAATATGGAAATGTGCTCCAGGTATGGTTTTCCAAACTGAAACTTTATGTGGGACTAACTGTTGGCAGCTCTTCCTCTCTTTTCTCTCTCAAGTACTAACTGCAACTAGCAAGAAAGTCTACCTGCTCTGATATCTCTGTTTGTACTTGGATCCCAGAAGTCACTTGTTTATAAAACTCCAGGCTACAGATCTCATCATAGTAGATGTACAGGTTAAATGAAACATGATAAGATTTTGCATAAGGAACTCATTCTCCACAGCAGCTGAGTTGACTGGGTTATTAAATCACAAACAGAAATATCTTAATATGAAATAACCTATATTTATGAATTTTAAAATTCTTAAAGAGAAATATCTACTGTGTGCAGCTTTCTATTTTCTCCCTAGAGCAAGTCTATTATAAACAATGAAACACAAGATAAAAAAAAGGGGCCAGCATTGTGGCATTGCTGGTTAAGACTCCAGCTGCAACAACAGCATCCCACACGGGCACTGGTTCAAGACCTGGCTGCTCTACTTTCAATCCAGCTCGCTGCTAATTTGCCAGGGAAAGCAGCAGAAGATGGACCAAGTGGGCCCCTAAATCAACGTGGGAGACCCAGAGGAAGACCTGGCTTGCCTGGCCTCCAGCTGTTGCAATCATTTAGGGAGTGAACCATTTTGTGGAAGATTCTCTCTCTCCTCTCTCTCCTCGTCTTCTCTCTCTCTCTCATCTCTGTCTCTCTTCCTCTCTCTGTAATTCTGCCTTTCAATAAATTTTTAAAAAAAGGTAAAGGGAACAAAGTAGAGACTAGAAGCACTGCCATTTTCTAGAACTTTCTCTGTGTGCACTCTCTCCTGTACCAGTTTTAGGCAGATGAGACCTTCATTCCAATAAGATATTCTGTTCCCTTTTACAATCTCCCTAACTCTAGTGTGGCAAGCAGATTTTTTTTTAAACTGTGAGTTACAAACCTTCAACTCACTAGTGGGAAATGGAAATCCAATCAGAAAAATAGCAATGAGACTTTTTTTTCTTTTAAAGAAAAACATGATAGAACAGTATAGAAAAAAAATCAGAGTGCATCAGAGGCTGTCAGCAGTGTTGGTAGTAGAGACGGCAAAGCTTTTGTCTCAGTTACACTGGTGTGTGTGTGTGTTGTGTGTGTGTGTATGAGTTCATATTGGGTGGTGTTGCATTTCTTACTGCTGACTGAGGATAAAAGGTTAAGACACACTGCCCTGTGCAAGGCAGGACACATGCATTCTGTGGTCAGAGCCCCTTTATAGAATCCTCCTGGCATCTGAGCCCCTTCATTCACTAGAGTCAATCAACAAACATTTAGGAGGCACTTTCACTTTTACCCAGCACAGTGCTTCAGTGTGGGGAATCAAGGCACCAAGGCAACCTGCTGCTGTTAGGACAGCTAGAGAGATTTCACCCCACTGAGGCCGGCCTAACCAGACAGGCTGGCCCGCTGGTGCAACAGTTATAATAACACAACGGACTCACAGAAGTCCCTAGTGTAAGAGGAGCATCAGATGGCATGTTTAGGGCAAGATGTCAACATGATTAAAACAAAATGAACAAAAGAGCTGAAGGCACTTCAGAAGGTGTCCCGCCCGTATTTCTTGTTGACTTCTACAAGTGACAGGAGTGATCTGGCAAACAAACCTATACCTGTCTAATGGGTCACACACAGAAATGTTCAGCGCTGTCCCCATAGCCATTTCTTAAGCTGAGAAAGGCTTTGAAACACATGTCCTTGTTTCCCCATGAGTTGTAAAACTGCTTTTGCCAAAGAACAAGCACAATATTCACTTTCGACTCCTAAGAGGATGTGTGTATGTCGCTTTTGATATGAATGCAAATAGACTTGATGCCACAATGTCTGGGCAACCATACAAAGTGAAACTTTTAAAGTTCAGAGATCCATACCTGGCACACAAAAGGTGCTTAATAAAAGTCAAAAAAAAAAAGATTGAATGAATGAAGACTCTTTGTGCAGTCTGACTCATGAATAAATCTTTTTAAAAAAGGACTGTGTTACTGCTATCAAAGTTGATGGCTGAGACAAATAGAAAATGCAAAAGAAATATGACTTCAGTGTGAATGTATCTGAGTGAGATTAACCATCATTAAAATCAGCAGTAAATACCGAAGAGTGAGTGAGTGTAGGTTTTTACTGGTGTTTGAGGCTTACTCTGCTCCCATCATTTTAATCCTTAATAAATCAAATTCACCAATGGGGGCCCCTGCAGTCCCTGGGAAATGGTTGCCCTACACAAATGGTGGTGACGGATGCATCCTTCACAGACTAGGTCCAAGGTAATAACACCCAATGCATCCAAAAGCCTTGTGAATGTGGCCACTTTATGAAGTGTCTTCATAACCATAACCATGCAAGTTTTCAGAGAAAACTCTATTGACTAGGAGGTGGAGAATGCCTGGTAAGTGGCTCCCCAAATAATTTGGTCTGGTACTATCAGGACGATTACAGGTGGGACTTGAAATTCAATAATCTATAGTAGGCTAATTTTTAATTTGATATTTTTTATGGCCTGTGAATGATGTTATAAATATCCAAATGGCCATTGGCAGAGAAAAGGTTCCCCACTGCTGCTTCAGAAACTTCACATACTCCACGGCTAGTTACCTACATGTGTCAGCTGGAGATAGCGGATTACAGGCAGAGTCTGAGAAAGGGCATACTTAACTATAGTTGTTTTATGATGGTGAGGCCAATCAACTTTTAAGTGTTACTGATGAGTCTGTGGCCAACTCAGACATAATGGGGGCTCAGATCCAGGATCCAAGACAAAGTTCAAGATGGACACATAACTCTACACGGAGCACCATGGGCCAGTCCTTGAACATCTAGTTTTTAAAGGGGAGGATTTTTGCTAAGGTATATATCATCCCTCAAGCACGCGTACTGGTGTGACAATTAGAACTTTAATCAATACAACATAGACGCTCAAAAGAAACTTGAAAGCCAGGGAAACAGAACTGTTGGCAAACATGGCATTTGGGCCCTGAAATAGAGGACTGAAAATATGTGTGGGACGTCAGTGAAGAAGAAAGAAGAGGTTTTTTTTGCATTTGTCAACCTTACAAAATATGTCTCTAATTCTCCTGAGTCTCAGTTGCTTTATTTCTCAAAATTATAAGCTCATAGTACAACCTTAACATTGATTGTTTCTTACCATGAATAAAGCTTTATAATTTTCTTAAATGTTAGGGAATATTCTCTAGTTTCACATACACAAAAACAATTGTTGGATTAGACATTATATGGAAAGTAGTGGTACATTTCTTACATGGCTTCAATTATACCTAAACTACATGCAATAACCTACAACAATCAATAGTCTTTCTGAAATCAGAATTTTGAGACCTTCCTGCATGATTAACGTTGGAAGCCTTGACAATGATTTGCTTTTGTTGCAAAAAAAAAAAAAAAAAAAAAAAAAAAACCAAGTTTGTCTTCTGGAGTTCTGTAGTAATTTATTGGACTTGTTTTTTGTATGAGTTTATAAAGCTATCTGAATATTTTCAGAGGTAGTTAATACTGAGCAAGTTAATTTCAAAAGGTACTTCAAAAAGTTCATGGAAAGATGTAATCAAAAGTTAAGTTTATTTTGGTGCAAAAATTTTGAAATCCATGCTCTCAAAGAGTCTTCAAGAGTCATGGAAAATCAATGTTATGAGAATCTTATTCGTGAATTTCAAATATTTTTACACCAAAATAAACTTATTCTTTTTTCAAAAAGATATTTACTTGAGAGAGAGAGAGAGAGAAATAGGTGGGGAAAGGGGGTAGAGAGAGAGAGAAACAAAACTCTCATCCACTGGTTAACTCCCCCATATGCCTACAATGGTAGGGGCTGGGCCAGGGCTGCTGCCAGGAACTCAATTCTGGGTGGCATGAAGCTAATTACTTGAGCCATTAACACTGTCTCCCACAGTCTGCATCAGCATGAAGCTGGAATCAGGGACAGGAGCTGGGAATCAAATCCATGGACTCCAATGTGGGATGTGAAGGGTCTTAACTTACATCTTTACTACTTGCCCCACAAGCTTATCTTTTAATTATGTTTTTCCATGAGACTATTCAAGATGCTCTGTAATTTCTCTTGGTATAAAGCCTCACACAGTTCAACTTCATGATTTTAAGCCGATCAGTTTTTCTAAACTTTCTGAAATTTTTCAATGCATTTGACTTGCAGATATGCCATTGCTTTATATAAACGCTTTGCTTTGCAAAAGGGATCAATAAGGAAAACAATAAGCTCTCACAATTGTATGTACATGAAAAGCTATTTGAAACAGTGTCACTCTAAAGAGCTTTGGGTGAGTTAATTAATAACATTGGCAGACAAGATTGTGTATTGCTGAATGCAAGTGCTAACTAAACTCTGCACGGTGAAAAACAAAGCTCTCTCACCCTTTAAATCTCAAGGCCTTTTTATATTAATTTGGAACACTGGGACTACATCTTTAAGGATATTGTTTGAAATCCTGTCAACTGATGTCACTGCTATTGCAGGTCCAGCAAATTTCATTTCTGTATAGCATTAGGCTAGAAAGGAACATATTAACAGACCAGACACCACAATGAAAACATGCAGTGGAGTCGTACTTAATGCATGGACATAAATGTGCACAAAGAAGAGGCCAAGCATATCAATTTAATTTAATACAAGCACAGGTCTGAAACAAGGGTCTGAAGCATTATCAATAGGCCTTAAGCAAAGGAGGAAATGTCGAGGGGAAACAAAGCTGAGAAAAATGAGCAGGAAATGGGCAGGATGACTCATCTATACTTGAACATCTGACCTGTTAGTTGGCCGTCGCCTGCAGCAGGGGCGATGCGAATGTAAGGTGTTTTGTAAGCTGAGTCACGATTATCGCAGCTAAGGCAAAGAGGATTTCCCAGGTCAGCATGCATGAGGGAAAAAAAGCCAGACTGAAGCTAGGCTAGCAAGAAGAATCCCATCAGTATATCAAACCGTCTCAACTTTGTTCCAAACAACAACAAAAAGAAAAGGAAGAAAAAAATTAAAAAATAACCATAGCCAGGTGTTGAATTTTTCTGAATTCTTGTCTTAAACAAGCTCTAGTCATGCAGTAGGATTTCTAAACTATGACCCAATTGCAAGCTTTGGCTGAGATCTTGGACAGATCAACTGAAGAAGAGGAAAAAGAAAGTAAAACAAACCCAAAAATATTAGTCCTAAGTAAAGGTGAAAACTAGTGGGTATTCAATTGCACTTGACCATGGATATAAAGATATGCCACTAATTTTGATGATTTAAACTTTAGGCTTTTAGAATTTACCAGGTTGTTTTAAAATTCTGTTGCTAAATTCACAGTATTTTCTCTTGCTAATATCACCATTGTCATGAACATTATCCTTCTCACTAGAAACATTTTTGTGTAATTCTCCGATAGATACATTTCATGCGGATTTCCATTTAGGAACCTTATTTTTTTACATGAAAAAAATTAAAAGATGCAGCTCAAAATATTGGTTTAAAAAAAACGGAAACTGCTAATTGCCCTTGCTCTAGTTGTCCTGGTTAACATGTGACCAAGGAAATGAGTAGGTGGACCCAGGCGAACTTGGTTTGCCTGTACAGCTCAGCAGCTGTATTTAAGTGTGTTAACATTTATGACACACAGATATGAAAAAAGATAGAAAATTAAACGTCAGTTCTAACATGATACAGCTGGAAAATGATGCAAAGAAAAAATATTGGAAAATTAAGGACAGGCTTGCATGAACGATTACTAATTTACATGGAACAGCCTGGGTGCTATTAGAAGTTGTGGCAGCGAGTAAGGAAAATAGATCATCTACCATCTGCAGACAATTAAACCCAAAACTTGCTGCTGCATAATATTTTGAAAATCCCTCTGCCACCAAACAGTGCTGCTGACTTACAACTACACAACGGCAGCAACTCCGTTTACAAATGGCGGAACTGTCTTTCACATATTATTAACTTTTCGCTAAGGGAGATGAACAAACTAACAGTTTGGTCACAGAATGGAGAGTTACAAAGACATTTCCTTGATATGACATATGTTGCAAATCTTTATACAGATAAAAGTTGTACACAGCAAAATGTTACTTCTAAGACTTGTTACAAAGTTGGTGCCAACTGAAGTTGTACAGGCTTACTGCTTTGCCCTGGTTATAGACTGGGTGACCAACATAACTGCGTTTGTTTCTTTTTTTTTTTTTTTTGATGGGCAGAGTGGACAGTGAGAGAGAGACAGAGAGAAAGGTCTTCCTTTGCTGTTGGTTCACCCTCCAATGGCCGCCGTGCTGATCCGAAGGCAGGAGCCAGGTGCTTATCCTGGTCTCCCATGGGGTGCAGGGCCCAAGGACTTGGGCCATCCTCCACTGCACTCCCTGGCCACAGCAGAGAGCTGGCCTAGAAGAGGGCCAACCAGGACAGAATCCAGCGCCCCGACCAGGACTAGCACCTGGTGTGCCGGCGCCACAGGCGGAGAATTAGCCTATTGAGCCACGGCGCTGGCCTACAACTGTGCGTTTTTCATTACTTACAGGAAACCTTGACCTATTCTTGTGAGCAAAATGATACTATCTTAAAGAAAAGCAGAGCGCCTCTCTAATATACAAAATGGGAAGCAATATGAAGAAAGTTCCTTGAGAGTAGCTATGCTGGGCATCTACATATTTGCACGTAAAAAGAATTCTAATTACCATCAGGCTAACTTTACCATCAAAAAAGCACATTTTAAATTTTAGGAAGAATTTTTATATGATCTCAGTGCTTTGCTTTGTAAAGTGTTTGCTTGTGATTATTTTTAGCTAGGAGGAGCAAACTTGATTACATGACAAGCTATGTAGGCCCAGGATACGCTTTTGCAAATAAAGTTTTATCAATTCTATTGTTTTTTGCATTCGCCAAAAGGTGCTCTAGGTCCTGAAACTGGCACAGCTGAGACGCTGTGCCAGAAACCATATGGCCTACAAAGCCTAAAATATTATCGCCTGGTCCTGGAACATCAGAAATTTGCTGAACTCTGCCTTAAAATATCATCGGGAAGTTAGTAAAAATTAAGGTAGAAATTCCAGTCCTATGCCTGGAAGGCAGTATCTGGAGGGTGGTAACTTTAGGGCCTCTCTTTGCTCTGGATGCATGAACAGAGGAGTAAATCATGTTTCATGGATTAGACCTCACGTGCACAGAGTGGAATCTTCAGGAGTTTGGTGAATGAGCATTTACCAAACTGTGATTTGCATGACCTCCCGTGTCCCCTGAAAAATGACTTTGGGGTCAAATAAATTTGAGAAGCATGGGAACTTTTCAGGTTTTCTTCTCTTAGGAAACCTCTCAGGGGGCTTTAATTATACTCATGATGTACATTGTGAAGACCATTTCAGATCAAGGAAAGAGTATTTTCTCTAAACAATGCTGAATGATGAACATAAATGTTCCTATTTTCTCAATCCATAGCCAAAATAATAGCAGATTAACATAGTTGAGTGGTCTTACTATATAATTTTGTTTTCTCATGTATTGAATGTGAGTAATTAAAGGAATCTTAATGAGCATTACATCTCAACAGACACTCTTTTCAATTCCTTTATCAGCACACTTTCATTCTGATGCATTATGGCCTAGAAAGAATGGTTTTCTTTGCACGAAACAGTGAAAAGAAAAACAGTCTAGAGAAACTCTCTAAGAGCCTAGTGAATAAATAAAGAAACATTCAAATTTATGAATATACTTAGAAATTGCATCAGAACAATGGAAATCCTTCAAAGTTTCCTCAAGGTCTTCTTCCAGCAAAGTATATTCACAGCCCAGTGCAAATTTAAGTTAAATAAAATACTAAACTTACAATGAAGCAGGTTTTCATAGAAAATTTGCCTTAAAACTATCATTGTAGAATAACGGTGGTTTTTTTTTGTTGTTGTTGTTGTTTAAACTTTATCATCTGACTTCCTTAATATTTTGGTGGAGAATTTAGCATGTGTTTGTACGCAGGTTTTGTTTTTTATTTCTAGCTATACTGCCATTAGCCAAGCCATAGCATGAAGAGGAACAAATGATCATATGCAACCACTCCTTATACACCAGAAACAAAACAAAAATACCTTTTATGAACTCAAAGTCTTCAAAATTTAAAAATTGTATTTGTGTGTCTATATTTAGAAGTCTTATGGAATACTCTACACATAACAATGGAATATGCGTTTGAGTAATTTTAAAATAGGAACCTTTTCAAACAGGAAAGCTTGCACGAGGCCATGTTGTTACAGAGAAACATAGTTGGCATTGTATTATGGAAAATACAAGTTTATGGAAGATCAATCCAAACTGTAATGTACACAGTTCAAACTGATTGGTATAGCCATTAGAATGAATATATTGCATTAAATACAAGAGTTGTAATGTACTAATCAGACAGATTTTCATTTTTAAGTATATCCTTTCAGTTTAGAATTAATCAATCAAGCCTTCCAAAACTATCATAAAAGAATTTTCACATTTGACCCCATAAATATATACAATTATTATGTGTCAATTAAGAAGTTTTTAAAAAAATGTCAAAAAGACTTTCTATCCTACCAGTTACCACAAGGTAGCCATAATGGATCTGAACCTTAACAAAAACATATAGGAATTACCAAGACACAGCTGAACCAAGTAGTCATGAGATGAATGCAACTACCAAACTGTGAATGTGATTTAAAAAATAAAATATTGGAGAATCTGAGTATAGTTAAGAGCTCCTCTAATTACTCCACTGTACAGATGAAGAATCCTTTGAGTTGGGAGGACAATACCCAAATGTCCTGGGTAACCTACTGCATGGTGTCGCCACCTTGTAACTCAAGAAAGTTTGAGTTTGCCTGTAGTCAACAATGAAATTATGGTCACATGTAACTATTGGACACCACTTATCTAGACATAAGTTAAAGGGCTGCATAAAAGTATAGGTGATCCCTCACATGTTTGAAGATATGCAATAGCACCTCTTAGGTCTTTTTCTGTGTCTAACTTTATGGAGCTTTATGTTTGAGATGATCTATGTCAAAATATACCTTTGGATAAAATGAAAATAATCACATTAAATTTATAAATAGTCTGAAATATATTTTTAAGAGACATACCCTAACTTGAAACTAAAAACTAGCTTTTTGTGAAAACAAACCCAGCTCCATAGTTTCTCCATAAAGATACTTGTCAACAGTTATTTCATGAGAACATTGAAATCTATAAATTTAAAACACTGCTTAGAAAAGCAGCTTAGTATCTGAAAACTCAATTAAGCCACAACATTGTCAGCAAAATGTGGCGAAATATACTCAGGAGTTTGGACCCTTACTAAATTTAAACATCTTAACTATATGGTACCAATAAAATCATGAGACTTCCTTTCTTCTCTGCTTTGACGAAGTAGTCAGATAGCATGGTTTCCCATGCTACAAAAGAATTTCTGGATGAATGATAATAAGGTGGTAAAGCATGAAGGAGGGTTGCAGAAATCTGTCCGTGCAGAACTCAATAAAAGAGCACAAAGCAGAGTTGTTTTGCCTGCAGGGAGATTATCTCCCAAGGTTTCTTCCCGTTCTATGATTTTATGAAACAGAAATGACAATGTTATGCAGTGAATATTAAAATTTGTTTCCTTCTTTCCCCAAAAGAGGTTATTTGGATAGAGTTTGTTGCTGTGTAAATGTTTGCAAATGACTCAGAAAATACGAGCGGGGAATATTGAGTCAATCAGGTCATCTGATTGCCTAATCACCCTTTGGTGAATTAAAAAACAATTACAATACTGAAGAAATCTAGCTGATGGAAAAAAATGATCCAAATCACCATCTAATTCAATCTATTGTGAAAACAGCAAACTTGTCATGTTTCCATATTTACTAGGGTGTTATTTATATAATTATTTAACCATGAGCATTATGACAGATATTGCACTGTTTTCACAGTAAATTGGCAGTGACTCAGTTCTAATAAAGGGGAGGTCAGATGCTCCCAGTACACAATCCTATAATTGGCCAGAGCTTCTGCTGGGTGAAAAGCCATGAGACACAGTAGAAGAAACACTGGGTAGGCCTCCAAATGCTTAGGATCAAGCTTTGAGCAACAGATTATTAGTTGAGCGACCCTTACATATTAATTTCTCTCTAAAATTATGCATTTTCTTCGAATTAAAAATGAAAGTAGTATTTCCTCTTTCCTTTTTCATGGTAAAAAGAAATAAATAAGAAAGCATATATGAAAGTGCTTTCAGCTGTGATGTTAAACATAAGGCATTATAAATTAGGAGTCCTAGGACTGGATTTACTTTCCCAGACCTCAAAGGTAAGAGGACAGAATTATACAATATTTTGAACTTCCTACTCTTGAGCATAAGCCATGAGCTGGAGCTTTAAGGGCATGGCAGGATCCCAGGTCCAAGAGCATCATAACTGTAACAAGTAGTTGCTATGGCATGGCAGTTCATGGAATAAACAAACAGCCATAATTTCACTTACTATTAATGTATTCCTATAAATAAGGCACTGAATGAGGTACATATGATATAAACAGTTGAGGTTCTTAAAATCTCTACATATAGATTCTTGGAACTAGAACTATAATTTCACGAGGACAAAGAAAATACAAATGAGGTGAGCACCTCATGCAATGCCTGGCACCTAACATGCAACCAATAAATATTGAGCTAGTACTGAATAAAAACATGATGCATCTTCATGAAACAAGAATACAATGAGAATTTTGAAAATGGAGATATACATCCATGTTATGTTCAAACTATGTCACCTAAAATTCAATGACAACAAAAAAGATATTTTTATCCAACAGAACTCATCAAGAATGGCCTGATTAAACCTAATGCCACGGACCCAGTGATGCCTTCTTACCAAACTTTCTAAATTAAATCACACAGAACTTCTTCACATTAGTCATGGTTACTCTCATGGACTAAAAGAATATACTTAACTACAAGTGTTAATTTATAATGCCTCATTTTAATACAGCATTTTAAATCTCTCAGGGCATTTTTCTCATACATTTCCATATGTGCACAAGACAGTGCAGCTCAGCTCATGGATACACATCTGCACTCTTTTCTTTAGCAACATGGTGTGGGAGCTTATGGTGACACGTGCTACCCTGTCTACAGCTCATCCTTGGTCACATTTTCTCAGATTTTAAGCAGGCCTGGGAGATAGGAGTTCCACATAATGTCACGTGGTTACTGGGTTCAGAGACTGTTTGTCAGTGAAAAAGCCCATGTAGCCTTCATTTTATAGTGCTGTAATAACTCGATCATTGCTTAAAATTAGCTGGCAATCCTTCACTGTGTTGCACATGAAGCTAGGTATAGCTGCTGCTAGCTATACCATTGCCAGGTAGGGTACTACGGTTTGAAAAAATGTGTACTGACATATAAAATTAATTTTATTTCAAAAACACACTTTGAGAGATAACCATTGAAAAGTGTTGAAAACCAGTACTATGGCTTCTTATTTTTCAAAAGCATCTATATGAAATTGTCATAAGATTTAAAACATTTATATATACATACATACATGCATATATACATAAAACATACACAAGTACTTATTTCAATGAAGTTATATTTCAAAGTTTTGAAATGAAGTCTAAAATTAAGAGACACAAATTAAAAGAGCATATCACAGTTTCAACCTACCTTTTGTGGCCACTCGAACACAGTCTATTTTGGTTTCCTGTGTCAAACAAAGAAGGTGAAAATTATTATTTGTGTTTTATTTAGACAGTAAACATTGCTGTAGTTCTAGTGAAATGACACGGATCAGTCCAGATTTCACTGTTCCTTGGGTGGCTTTAATCACACAATCACCCTTTGACGCACACTCAGATATGTTTTCTGGCCCAGGTGCCGGGATGTTGGGCATTTCTGAGCCAGATTACGAGCAAACAGTCTCTACTTTGAGGCCCCTGACTCCTTCTCAGAGCGGTCCTTGCTCCCTGTGCAAGCGGCACAGAAGAACTATACATCCCAGATGTGCCCCCTTCGTAGTGGCAGAAGTCAAGTTGACAATGCTAACTACACCTGTGCTATGAAGAAGGGAAGCCACTGTGGTATCATCAGAGCTCTGGGTTGCTTTGTGCAGGAAGGGGGGAAATTTTAGAAATGATGCAATGATAGTATCTGTTTTGTTTTCATCTCATCTTTTTACAGCTTTTCACTCTTAGAGGGATAAAAAGGATATCTGATTTAGTCACATCTATAGGAAACATAAACTCCCTTGGAACTACAGAAAAGGGACAAAAGATGCTGCAAAGACAGACGCTGTGAATCTCACATTTCCAATAAGTGAATACATATGTTGTAGCTACATCATTTGCTTGTGAAATAGTAAGCAAAGCAGAATTGCAAACCAATTTTTGGTAACAAGAAAGAAACTGAGAATAAAAGCCATGACGATTTATACCCCTTCCCTCAAAAATGAACACGTTCATTCATTTCTATAAGCTTCTCTAGATAAAAAACAACACACAAAAGCAAGACATTATGCCTTGCTATTGTCTTTCATGATCTAGGTTCACAGTCACAACCCCAAAGAGTGGAGGTAAAGTGGCATCTAGGAGAACCTACCCCATTGGCTCGACTAGCAGCTTGGAAATAAATTCTGTAGCTTTTGTGGGGGAGCAGAGGAGTGTTCCAGTATCCGCTGTAGGTCTTGTTATCCCCAACAGTGAAAGGCTGAGCTGCTTGCAGGCTGTCCGCTGGAAACTCTGCCGCGAAGTAGTACTGAGAGTTCAGTATGGAAGCGTTCTGGAAGTGAATGGGCACCGGGTAGCACTTCAGGACTTCTGTTGTCTTCTTCGTTCTTCGGGGGCGTTCTTCCTCCACAACAATTTGATATACACTAGAAATCAAAGAGGATTGTCAACGACATCGCACTTGGTCTGAGCTGATCCACTGTGCCTTTAACCACGTGGATCCCCAGGCCATCTGCCGTAAGCAGCACGTGGCACACAGTGACACCAAGTGCTTGGGCCTTAACAGACCTTTGCTCACCACCTACTCATTGAGAGGCAGAGGAGATGCTTGCCTTCATCCTCGCGATGCTCTCACTCAAATCAACACAATTTCTTGAGAGAAATCAAACTCAGGACAGTTATAAACACCTCTGTGTGACTCTCTCTGCTGCTTATGTGAATAGGACACTAAAATAATGTTTTCTTCCCCTAGAGCTGACGGTGATTTTGCAAACAATTCATTTGTTAACCTGATAAATGAAATTATATTATGTGTAAGTCTGGGGAAAAAATGGATTATTTTGTTTAATGACATTTGTCTGAATACACGTGACGCTTCACCAAGTCATAGAACACAACAGATAGTGATTCACATTAACCTTTCCATGTTTTCTCATATTCCTTTGCCCTTCTCCCTCATCAGTCAGTGGAAAGAGGGAAAAACAGAGACGAAGGACTAGAATTTTAAAAAGCCAAGACCTTGGAGTCACAAGTGATTTGTCAGAGGAAATCATGAACAAGGTTCCTTGAACCATATATACAGATCGGATGAGGGAAGATCCCTTCAAAGATGGCTGCAAGGATGATGGTTCTATGAGGAATGCGTCTCTGGCACCTACTCTCAATGTCTTTGAATTTTGAAATCACATTAGGAGAACAGGAGAAACCTTGAGCTGATGGACTTTTAAAGAATTAAGATATTTAGAATGATGAATGTTTCATGTTCTTTTGCTAAAGTTTCCAACGCTGAGAAAAACTGAACCTTGAAAACAGCTTTCAAAAACTAAATCCAGATTAGACGGAAAGCCCTTTTGGCAGGGAGATGCACTTTTTTCTCAACGTAACAGAAAAGCACCATGATTCCCTGGAACAATGCTATCATCCAATGGGTACCCATTGAAGCTAAGGAGGAAGCAGAAACGGGTGTCTGCCATCCCCACTTCCCCAGGCAATGCCTCTTTCTGCTCTTGTCTGTGTGAACTCTAGAGGAGAACCACTGGACACATGCAGTAATGAAACGTGTGCTGCTGTTCAGGCTGGAAATCTGCCCAACTACAGATGAACTGCTTGGAATGGGAGATGCTTGCTCAGAATCCAGGTAGTTCAGCAGGTTTACAGTGTGATGAGGAAATGCGTTTTGATATAAATAATTATATATATATATATATATACAGTAAAATATAGATGTAAAAACACTACTCTTGCTTCTTAACATCAGAGACTTTCTATTGGCTCAAGTCATGGGAGACACTGCACCAAATGTGGTAGAATTCTCCCTGTATTCAAGAAGAACCTTCCTACGGAAAGGACACAGGAACACAGAAAGAGGTGGAGCAGACTTTGATGTCCCTCCTCCACCTCCCTGGCTTCTCATTTAATAATGTATCTGCAAAGTCTCTGACACTTCTTCTACCAAGAGGCGGGGACAGCCATCCTTAGTGATTGACACACAACCAAGAGATTATTAGCAGAAAGGATGCCTTAACTGCTAGGCCAAATGCTCACCTCTAATAACTTTTAGCACTGGTTTCATTTAAGTAATCAGCTTTTCCAGTTCCTTTGCATGTGACATGATTTTCAACATTTCAATTTAAAAACAACTTCTCAGAAACTTATATATTAGACAAAGCAGACAGATGGAGATACATGTAAGAAAAGTAAGGGTACAGAAATTATTCCACACAGCATCTAGCCTAGCCCATGCAGTTTTAGTTTTTTCCCATTTTACTCCCATGAAAAACTGAGTGAGCATTTGGCCTAGTCATTAAGACACTGGTTGGGACGTGTGTGTTCCACATTGGAGTGCTGGGTTCAATTCTCAGCTCTGGCTCCTGATTTCTGCTAACGCACACCCTGGGAGAATCAACACTGCACATCTCTGTCCTTCCCCATCCTCACCTGCGTCTCTCACTTCCCATCCCTCTTTTCCCCAGCATCACTAATACACGTGCTGTGGGAGTGCATCTGTGCTCTTACGCATTCAACCAATGTGTTGAGTTGAGTGTCTACACTATGCTAGGCATTGTCCTACTTTAATAAAACAAAATGTTGCGTTGTACTTTAAATATCATCTATGTGAATGTGGCTGAAAAAAATTATTTTTTTTTCCAAGCAGTATTTTAATGAGATTAGATGAAGACTTGAGAATTAAACGATCATTTAATGGGCCTCCCTTTTAACCAGCTGGTATTAGTTATATTATACACTCTATTCCACACATATTACTTTTTAAATGGCTACCATCTCCTCATCTTCAGATATATTAAAGAAAGCACCAAGTTGACTAGAGCAATTTCCAACCCCAAATGTCTTTTCATCCTTGCTCCACAAGACAAATTAGATTTGCAAGCATCCAGACCTCAAATCTATTTGCTCTTTAATAATTTAAGCACTGAAAGGTCAAGCAGCTCTTTTCTATTCCCCTTTATCAAAGTCCAAGTGCTAATGAAAAATAGCTAAATCCTTTCTGCTGCCCAATTGCCATCCATTGCTGTCTCTGATGGAAATTAACACATTATCAGCATCCTGGTCAATGGTACCTTGACTGAGTGTTATGGCTGGTGTGCTTTCCAACTGCACAAATAACATCATTTCACTAATGAATTTCACAAAGTCTTTCACCACAATCATAATCTTAAAAGTGCCTTTGAAAATCTTACTGTTCGAATGTTTTTTTTTTTCCTAAAAAGATTTAAAAAAAGCAAATTCTCAAGGATGGGAAACCAATCAGAAGTTTCTAGTTTTGTGAGCAGAGTTAAAATTCCATTATCCTTTTAATGTATAACTCATGCCCCTTTTGTTTATTAAAGTTGCACCATTCCCAGCCCTGCTCTACCACTATTCTGGAATTCAAAGTAACATAAGATCTTCCTACAGCATTTGCAATATTAAAGCATAATCCACGATAAAGATAAATCTGCCAAAAATGTGACATCACTATATCAGAACTTTCTTATGGAATGAAATTAATTTCAAGTTTAATTTATGCTAGGCTTTATGCAACACAACTCTAAGGCCTTTACAAGGAGAGTAAGAAATCTGCATTTATATGGAATAGTACATGAAGGACAGCCTAGGAAAGAACATCTGAACATCTTCATGCAGTTTTTTAAACCAGAAAGTTCAAATGTGAAAAAATGTTTTTAGTTCTCCATAACTTTCATGTCTTTGAGAGGAAGCCTGCTACAAATTTGAAACTGACTAAAATTTTTTTGTCCTAATTCATTTAAGGATTAAACCTTAGTTGTAAGTTCAGTTTTCTTACCCAGTTACTGTGTTTCCTATCAGCAGAACATACTAGAAGGCAATCCAACTGGGGAATTAGAAGGGAGGGACAAGGAGGCGAGGACAGAGGGAGAGAGCAGTAATGACCCTTTCATTGCTATTCTTTTAAAATTGGCACTAATGAGCATTTCAAGGCTTAGACTCCTGTTCATTTCATGGCACCTGATAGGGACTTTTAGGTTTGATTTAAAAGTTTTGGTTCATATCATTCATTCCAAATGTACTAAAAATAGTACTGATCTCTTTCTGAAGACCAATCTTTGAGGGATAGGAGAAAATGACAATTCCACACAAAGTATGCCAAATAAATGTGTTCTTAGGGTATAACAGCTACTCAAGCACACAGAGTTTATTTGCTTCCTATTCTTCAGCATTTTTTCATTCTCTTTCCATCTCTGGCAGCATTCACCGAAATGACACCCTAGTACACCAAACAATGTGGTACAACCCAAATTAAGTATTTAAAAGTTTACTGGTAGTCTAAAATGAGGGAAAAGAAAGGTTGGAATTCAAGGAGTTCATCTTCTCGGCAAGGATTCTTGGGAGTCCTGCAGGTAATTGGCATTGAGAGTGCCTGAACAGAGCTTGTTCATTAATTAGAATAATAATGGGCAACTAATTTTACACAGCCAATGGGCACTGGGTAACTTACTGCATAGCGTAAGCAGACCTGGGGATTGAATATGCTGTTAGCAATGTTCATTTCTCTCATCTGATCTACACAAGATGGGCTATAAACTGTGGGATACCTGCAGGCCACCACAGGCACATCTCATTCTCTTGGCTGTAACTCATCATAGGGAGCCTGCATGGCACCTGTAACTCACTGCTGGTCTGTGTATACATGTGTGTGTGTGTGTGTGCATGTGTGCGCATCTGTGAGCATGTGTGAGCATACAGTTCAATTCCCTGCTGCTCTGCTAGTTAGGGCCAAAATCTGATATAATAAAATATTAATTACAGCTGAAAGGTTGGGTGAGAAATATGAACTCAATTATAGTCCCACATTGTGAACAAAGGACAAGGTGAAAAAAAAGTCCTGTAGTTATGGAGGTTAGGGATAATAAAAAAAAAATCAACCAGTACATTAGACTCAGGCTGAGAATTTCTGTAAAAGGCCACCTGTCATTAATCTTCACACTGGGAGCCTATTGTGAGTAGATTAGTCCTAGTTGGAACATCTTTAAGAGTGATCTCCCCCCTTTTCACAAGTGAAGACAATTTCCTTTGCCTTCTCATCCTGGCTAAGCTTATCATAATCTAATCATGACAATTTCATAACAAACACACAATTATAAAAATTATAGTTCAGTATATGTCAATTATGATTAAACTGTGTTCTTTCAAATAGCCCTAGTGATTTGAATAAAAATAGAAATAGGAGACTATGAAAGCCACACCAAATATCTTCATTCTTGAATGCTTGTATTGTATCCAATTTAGAAACCTTCCACTCCCAAGAAGTGTTGCTGCTGCAGGGCAGGTGAGCTAGACACAAAGGTTACCATCAAAGGGAGGCAGGTGCACCCGAGGGAGATACCACTGAGATGGCGCCAATATGGGAGTTACCACCTATAGAAACCATTGTAGGACCCACTAAGGCCCTTTAAAGCTCTAATATTCTATAGCAGCCAGATACCAGATCAGGACCCCTCCATATTTT